TATATATATATATATATATATATATATATGTTTTCCTAACTTCAAGCTATTGTATATTTTACAGTCTTGAACTCTGGTACAACACGATATTAGTTCTTTTGACGGGCAACATGAAAAATGCCGAGGTCGAAATTGATGCTCTATCAATATGGTATTATGCTTATGTATTGTCTCACATTTTATTTATTAGAATTTGAAAAAAATACTAATTAAGAACACATTTTTTTGTCAAACATTATAGGGTTAAATTTATTCTTCATGAAATGATGGGTAATACTTATTAAATATGGAAAATAATTTACATCATTTCATGAGTTTTATAAACTTTAGAGTCAATAATAAATAGTGTTAATATTATTCATGATAGTTTATGTTTATCTCCAACTTCGGTATAGTGAATTTTTCTTAGGTTGCTTAAGATCAAATTTCATGTTTTTAACAGCCTTAACATCGTTGGATGGGCAATAATGATATCACTTGGTTTCTTGTCTGCTGCAAGGTAATGGAATTCTTCTCTTTCATTTGGTGTTTGTTTACTATGGAATATTAACTTTATCTTTCTTTATTAACAGTGTTCGAGTGGCAAACGAGCTTGGAAGAGGAAACTCCAAAGCTGCAAAGTTCTCTACAATTGTGACGGTGCTTACCTCCTTCGCCATTGGATTTATTCTATTTTTATTCTTTTTATTTTTTAGGGAAAAACTTTCTTCCATATTTACCTCAAATAAGGACGTGGCCAATGTTATTGGGGACATGTCGCCTATGTTGACAATCTCTCTTCTACTAAACAGTGTCCAACCTGTACTTTCAGGTATTTTTAAACATTTGCCTCTCAGTTAAGTTGGTTAAACAAGTTTGTTTAAGACTAGAGTTCGAATAGTTTTTGCATGACAAAATCAAAATTTGAATATTGAATATGAAAAAAAAATACAAAAAATACAAAATAATGCACATAAATATGAAGATTTTATGATTTCAACAGGAGTTGCTATTGGAGCAGGGTGGCAAAGCATTGCAGCCTATGTGAACATAGGGTGTTATTACATCATAGGTGTTCCAATAGGGGTTGTGCTTGGTTATGTTTTGCATTGGCAAGTCAAGGTTGGTATTCTTCTCATTCTCAAGTTACATTCGACTAGTGTGTTTCGTGTATTATTTGACAATTTTTTTTTTCTTTTGTAGGGTATTTGGATCGGAATGTTGTTTGGAACATTTATTCAAACAATAGTGCTAAGTATAATCACGTACAAAACTAATTGGGACAAGCAGGTATTTGATTATACCTCTTATTGCTTCCTATCTTTATGTATTGCCCCAGCCTCACCAAAAAAATTATAATTATTTATATATAAATGCTTGAGTTATTATTTCACTGCGCAGGTTACTATAGCTCAAAATCGTATTAAAAAGTGGTCAAAGATGGACTCTGGTGATGAAACAATTACATTAGATAATTAGTTTCAATTCCTTTCCAAGATTTGTTTCTTTGATTTCAAAATTAATGAATCTAAGCACGACTAATTTATTTATTGTAATAGTTTGTGTTGTTAGTTCATACAACGCAGTGCATGTTGTTCATTAGTACGAACAAAAAATCGTTTGAATAGGATCTTTGAATTTAATTTGGATAATTAGTATTTGTAACTACTCTTGTATTTTTACAAGAATTGTGGTTTTAGCAACTAAAAAATAGTTATGTTGGTTCTGAAACAAGAAAGAAAAACAAACAGAATAAATATTATGTACGAACAAGGAAAAAAACATAAAAACAAGAAAATTTAATAAGAACGTAAAATGTGAATAAAAAAATTGAGAGAAGGGAACACAACAAATTTATGTGATTATTTAACCAATTTGACCTACATCAAAAGAAGAGAACTGATATCACTATCTGAAAATAATATTAAGTGTTTACAACAAAACAACCCTTGCCCTTCTGAGAAACTCCTTGATCTCTCCAACCGATTATGTGTTCCTCTCTATGTATCTTCTTTCCAACTCTCTATACTCATACTTAACACTTTGCTATTCACACTTTCTCTTTCTGTGTTGTGCTCTATACTTAACGATTCCCAAAACACATACACACATATAGGAATCCAAGACACTAAGACTAAATCTTATAAAATAGGACAAACTAAACCCATCAGACCAAAATAAATAGATTATATGTATAGTCTAAATCCAACAAACAAAAGGAGTTAGACTGTATGTATAGAACCAATCAGATGAATGGAGTCAAACTGAACCTATAAGACTATACAGACAAAAGACTTAACAAAGCATATAGATGATACAAAAGATTTTGAGTCACAATCAACAATTCTCCACCTTGACTCTAAATTTATAGAAAAGAACCCTTTCACAATAGTATTGCTCTCCCACTTTAAAAATGAACATTAGACGAAGTTGATCAAGTTCAAGCAATGCTTGAACATGGATGTCGTAAGAGACTTTGTAAACACATCAGCAAAATTATCTTCAGATGCAATCTTTTCAATATGAACTTCTCTAAATTCAACCACATATATGATGAAGTGAAGCCTTATATCAATGTGCTTTGTCCTCTCATGATAAATTTGATGATTTGCAAGGTGTATAACACTTTGGCTATCATAGTGAATTGTCACATAATTTTGTAATATACCAAATTCACCAATCATCCCTTTTAACCATAAAGCTTCCTTCACTCCTTGAGCAAGAGCAATGTATTTTGCTTGTGTTGTAGACAAAGTTAACATAGGTTGTTAATTTTCTTTCCAACTAATAGTAATTCCAAACAAAGTGAATGCATACCCAAATAAAGATTTTATAATATCCGCATTTCTTGCATAATCTACATCAACATGCCCCATGACGAGATGAGATGGATAAGTCTAGTGCCATGAATGGGCACTTAGGGAGATGAATTATGCATATTGCGTTGTTGTGATTGTCGCCACCCGCCGAAACGGACCTTGGCAATCGCGACGATGGTTGGACTCTTTTTAAAGTTTTGAAAAGTGGTGGATTGATAGAACGACTTATTCTCAAACTGAGACCTTGTCGAGCTACCAATTTTATTAAATGATTCACCAATCCATATTAATCCCAAGCGGGACCCTCTATGGATTAGTGGTTTTCGCAAAAATTAGGGTTCTTGGAGTCGCCACCAATATTTTACTCAAAACATTGGAAAAAGATTTAAGGCAATTGATTTTATAAATCAACTTTGGCCATTACAACCAGAGTTGGGTAAGGGAGTCGGTTACGTGTGGGGAAGGTGTTAGCACCCCCACAGCGCCCCATTAGGGTTCCCTATGACGGATTATTTATTAAATAATAGCGCAAAATTACTAAATTACCCCTATTTATTATAAGCGATTGTAAATTAAATATCTACATGATGATAAATTTAAATATGCAACAATCAGAAAGCGGTAAAAGAAGGGATTTTTAGAAAAGAAACCTCTTGAAGCGTGCTTTTTATATATCAATGAAGTCTAGGAGGCTTTTTGGCACTCCCTCCCTCTACAAGCTCGCTCGCTCCTTCCTAAAAA